CCTTCAAATTCATTGTCTGTAAAATGGGGGTAATGAAAGCTATCTATACGGTGTTGTATTAAGGATGAATGCACTGACAAGTAAATGTGTCTAGCACATGTTCATTTTTCAATAAAATCTCTTCTCCCATGCTTGAGGGTTAAAGTAAGATATCGGCTGATATTTCCCAAGTCTATATATAATCCAGGCTTCTCTTCAGTGTTTCAGCCTCATACAGCCAGTTTTTCCACCCCCAGTATCCCTCAAATGGGCTAGCACAATAGTTCTCTGAGCGCCTCTCTGCCTTCCTTCAAATCCATCCTCCACTCATTTGGAAAAATAATCTATCTAAAAGACAAACCTGGCCCTAGCTGGTTTGACTCAGTAGATAGAGTATCGTCCTGAGGACCAAAGGGTCCTAGGTTTGATTCTGGTCAAAGGAAGGTACCTTGGTTGCAAGCTACTCCTCGGCCCAGGCGTTGGTTAGGGCTCATGCAGGCGACAACCAATCGATGTGTTTCTCTTACATCAATGTTTCTCTCTGTCTTTCCAACTCTCTTCCACTCTCCCTAAAAATCAATGGAAAAATATCCTCAGATGAGGATTAAATAAACAAACAAACACACAAACAAATAAATAAAATAAAAGGCAAACCTGCTCGGCCGGCCATGGATCAGTGGTTGAGTGTACTAGTATACCTGTGAAACAGGAGGTCACAGTTTGATTCCCAGACAGGGTGCATGCCCGGTTTGTGGGCTTGATCCCCAGGAGGCAGCCAATCAATGATTCTCTCTCATCATTGATATTTCTATCTCTCTCATCCTCTCCCTTCCTCTCTGAAATCAATAAAAATATATTTTTTTAAAGGCAAACCTAACAGGTCTTTTCCTTTGGAAAAACCGACAACAGAGATCTGCAATTGCTGGCCCAAGGGCCACAGAAAAAGAATTTGCCACAAGGCTTTATGTGGTCTGTAAAACTAAAAATATTTACTACCTGGACCTTTACAGAAAAGTTTGCCAAACAAGGCACACTCCAAGCCCTGACTCGCACACACCTCTCCTGAATCTTCCTTGTCTCTTCCTACCCTCAGCCACACTGGACCACTTACACATTGTTTAGTCATAGAGAATCTATAATTGCGTGCCTCCATGCTGTGGCACACCCCCTGTGGTCTCTGTCACCTGGCTGAGACCTCGTCTTTAATTTCATATTAGCTCTCTCCTCCTCCAGGAAGCCTTCTTTGAACACCTGCCTCGTACATACTAACCAAGCAGAGTTCATTGTCCTTTCCTTGGTACTCCCACAATTTCTTTTGAATATACCTAATATTACAACTCATATTACATTATTTTTTCTCAGATGGGTCATATTTTCCAGCTTTTTTGCACACCTACTAATATTTGATTCCATGCCAGACATTGTGAATTTAATCTTCTTGGATATGGGTATTTTTGTGTTGTTAGAAATGTTCTTGAGCTTTGTTCTGAGACACATTTAAGTTATTTCAAAAGAGTATAATTCATGTGGAGCTTAGATATAAGCTTTAGTAAGATGGACCAGAGCAGCCTTTAGTCCAGGGCTAATTTGGGGCCATTACTGAGAAGTCAGCCTGATGCTCTGTGAATTATGAGACTTTCCACTCTGGCTGGTGGAAAAACAAATTACTCTCAGCTGTCTGTGCACCCCCAAGTATCAGTTCTTCTCATTTTTTCAGGTAGTTTTCCCGTTGGCCTTAGTTCCTTCAGCAGCATGAACTGATTGGTACTTGGTTGAAGGTTGGAGGGTCTTGGGTCTCCAGGGCTCTCTCTTGCAGGGCTCTTCTTTCCTGTAGTCTACCCTGAGATCTCTAGCTATTTGGTCTCCCAGACTCTCCAATCCAGCTCCTGCTCTCAAAGAATCCTCTGAGCTCAGACTGGCTTCCTCCTCCAGGCATCATGGCCAGGAAACTCTCTCCAGCAGTAAGCTAAGGCAATCCTATGTCTCACCTCGTTTATTTCTAATCTCTCAGACATCACTGTCTTTTGTTGCCTGGTGTTCAATGTCTTAAGAATCGTTGATTCATAGATTTTTTCTTTT